TGATTAGATTGATTTTTTAAGTGATTCACATAACAAACCCAGATAATAACTTATCCTGGTTAAATATCCCTTATTGAAAAGCCTCAATACCTGGCATGTAAACACCTTATTCAGGTTTCTCATAATTATCGACCATGATGGCAGATGCTTCCTCAGCTTGAGTTGTATTAATTGGTTTAGTCACCAAAACCAAAAAAATAAGGTCCCACAGAGGGAGCATTCCTCCGCCAAGTCTGATCTGCCATTTTATCACCATGTTGCATATACATGTATTATGATCAGATACATAAACCATGTACACAGAAATGTTCTGCAATCTGCTTATGTTAAACACAGGCAAAATATATCCGCTATGGCATAGTAGTATTTGGCACTGTACAGTAAACCCCTAAAATGCTTACTTTGTTACTCGAAATCCAGATCATTATCCAGATATGCACCAAAAGTTCATCAAGAAATTCACAAAAAAACCTGCATATCTCGAATGTTCTCCAAAAGCCAATGACTTCTTCCTCAGCCCTTACCTCCCCCTTCAACCAAGTTTCAATAAAATGGCTCGGGCAGTAATCATTATTAACGTTTAGACAATCTTCATTCCAAAGTGAAAGTGTGACACAGGTAAAGTGAAGATACTTTTTTTTATTTTTGTCTCTTTCTGCACTTCAGGGGATGAAGGAAAAACAAGCAGAGCAGTAAATACTCTGGAAGTCAACTAAGCTGATTTCTTCCTGGACTGCTGAAACAATTCATTAGTGGCAGTAGCCGTGTCATATGGAAGGATCCACATAATGTGCTGCAAATGCCAGAAACAAATTCCACTGATTACATTTCACTTAAATATTACAGATTCCTTTAGAGACCAGGAGGTAAAAACATTTCACGGTAGCTTAATGTTAATAATGCAATGTAGGGATCACTCCCACTGCAGTGACATGCTATTCTGCAGCAGAATTTGTAGCATATAATTACAAGATATCTATTATCTCTTATAGAAATCAAATGACTCATAATTAGTAATGCCATTGTCAACCAACCACTTCATAACAGCTGATTGAAAGGTCTTGTTTTGGTCCTCAGTTATTTTAAGGTGTCGTAATGTATTTATATATTGATTTTAAACAATATTTTTGATCTGGTGAAGAAACCTGCCCATGTACTGCACTGCAGCATGATGCACAGAGAGAATATTAATGAAGAGGTGTGTGTGTGTGTGTGTGTGTGTGTGTGTGTGTGTGTGTGTGTGTGTGTGTGTGTGTGTGTGTGGCAGAGCGAGGGTTGTCAGTATGGATAAATGGATAAATGTGGGTGTGTGTGATGGTTTTTTAGGAGGCTTTCAGGCAATCAAACCAAACAAGCAGCTTTAGAGAAAGTGGGCCTCTCTCTCTCTCTTTCCCTCTCTCCCTCCCTCCTCTCTCCTTTGTGCTTCAGCTCACTGACACTGNTGTGTGTGTGTGTGTGTGTGTGTGTGTGTGTGTGTGTGTGTGTGTGTGTACCCAGCTGTAGAGACATGGGGCACAGACAGGCTGCTGTTTAATAGATTACAAGAGAACATAGCGAACTATCGATCGGACACACAGTCTTCCTACCCAGAATTCAGTGGAGTACGGTTACAGTGAGACAAAGCAGAGACTGCAAAAGGAGAGAGAGTGTGACAATGTGCCCACAGGTCCATCAGTCCTATAATTGGATGTCTTCACACAGTCTCATTTTAAAAGTGAATATGACTTGCAGGAACTTTCCTCTTATAATCGCTCTCACACATTTAAGTGAACCAGCTAAAAAGGTGATCGACTCCTCTCCCTTTGTCAGTAGAGGAGTTGGTCTTTTTGTAAATATACAAACCTTCAGGGCTATATTTTTGCCAACGCCCAGAAGTACATGCACGTTCTTATTCATTATCTAGACTGGTGGCCTGGCTTATTTTATTTGTTTCTCCACAGTTTCATAATGAACCAAGACGTTTTTTGCACCTCTTATAATAACATAAGGGATATCTAACTCTGCAGCTCTATTTGTGGCGCTATTTATAGCGCTCACACTACCACAAGCGACCGCTATCATATGCTGGTGGGACTGTGTTCTTGTGCTATAGTCCATAATAGTTTTACCGTCTACGCAGACGGTGGAATGTGGAGAACTTCTCTTTGACACTTCAGTGTTGCGTGTGAGAGTGACCTTCATGTATGTGCACCCCAGTTATTGCCATAAATTGATTTAATTCTGTGGGAAAGCTGACTGGACTGTTTCCAACACTGCAGATAAAAACCTGTGTCTTCTGCAGAGTCATTTGACCCAGGAGAGAATGCTGATTGTATCCACTCCCATTGCAGACAAAAGACAGATGTTGATGGGTTTTTTTGATCGGTGGAACGTTTGGAGGCTCACGCTGCTTTCTTTTTTATGGTTTTATCTTCGTCACAATTCCTGTGTCTCTACAATGAAGACAAAGTTAGCATCAGCTTTAGTCTGAATGTGTGGCCATGAGAATGAGACAGAGGTTCAAAATAAGATGACTGTATTGTCCTTCCAAGTCACAGAAGAGGATCTGGCAGCACAGTTAAAATCTATGATAACAGCTCGACCAGCTAAAACTTTTTCCCCCTCATCCTTGAGTTGCTTTATCGTTCCTGATTTTAAGATCGAAAACTCAGCCGCCCGGCAGTCTGCCAACATGTGCTCTTCTACTTTTCCCGACTTTAGTGAAATTTTATTGAAAGTCTCTCGTCTTCTCTTCAGTCATTACTTAGTCAGCAGCAGGCCCCATGTTTTTGATTTCTTCAATCTCTTTACTCCTAATTACTTTTTTCCTCCTCTACCTCCATCTGTCTCTGCCCAAACTCAGAGCCTCCTGCTGCCACTGGGCTGTGAGTGCTCTGCCAATAGAGCAGCTTGTGCTGTAGCTCACAGTGAAGAGGTTGGGCCTCCTACAGGTAGATTCTTGTAAACACTCTTATGGACAATTCTTTTTTTGCTACTAGTGCAGTACTTGATGTTAACCTGCCTGTTTGGAATGGGCTTTTCTCTTGTCCCGTGTTTATGCTCTGGAGCTGCTCCTGAATTATTCCTTGTCATCAGTGAGTCCTCCTCAGTCCTCTGATATACTGTCACATTGTATTGTTTGTGTGCTGGACATTGTGTGCAGAGCTTTTTTATAAACAGAGTCAAGTGAGAAATCATCCTACCTGGTTTATCTGCAGTGTAGAATTTATAGTATAAACAGAAGTTTATTTTACTGTTCACGTGTGGCTTTCATATTTTCTGAGTGATTGACTTAACTTTTATTTTTTCATACATTGCATGTCAGCTTTTTCGGAGATCCGTTAAGCATTGCCACAGTCTTCAGACACAAGTTGACAACTTTTCATAATAAAAGCTCTGTAATGCAGCTTCTTACACTATGTGGACAAAAGTATCCAACCAGTGGTTGGACCATGCCCATTAGTTCCAGAGAGGGGAAATCTTAATATTTCATCTTACCAGGTTAAGATATTTTGAAACGTAATGCCTATGGATTTAGAATCGGATGTCATAGAAGCTCATGTAGTTGTGATTTTACTTTCAAGACAACTTAAGAGGAAGCGATTCCATGACAGAGATCAGCTCCCGCTTTCCATGGATGTCTGTGACTCAGTCCGATATAATTGTGTTGTCGAACTAGCTGAGAACAAAATCATTTGGTCTTTGCGAACAGAAATGATGGATGCATGTATCGGCATAAGTTAGATCTCACAAGTGTAGACAGATGCTAATACCAGGTGTGAACTGACGAACTTGGATCTTTGCACCACGTCTGAACGGGGCCATTGTCTCAGTGGTGCCTGAAGCAACACATCCCTGTAGACCACATATAAAGATGGACGACTTGACTGTTACCCAAAAGTGAAGCCAAAGCATCTCGATTGCCCCCTGGTGGCTTCCCCCTTCCTCCATTTTTGAGGCGGGACATTGAGCAAACTAAAAAAATCAAAATACACATTAAATACATTGTTCTAAAAGATGGTCCCTGTTATTTTAGGAAGTTCCTGTTTCCTATGTTCGCATGCTCAATTTTCCAGTAAGTTTGGTTTTAATCAGTATTTCGATGCTGTAAAAACAGAGTGAAACATCATGATTGACAGCTAAGACTGACTTACAATTGGTAGGCTGTATGTATCAATGGGACCTTGTTACTGCAGCTTCATCCTAGATTTCGACTGTGCAGGCTCTGGCTTCAAATGAGGTATTGATGCAAGAAGGCAGCGTCTGCACCTGGATATTCTGGCCTCATTTTCTGAACAGTACGAGGAAGTGAAGATGTGGCGTCTATCGCTATATACAGATGGTCTGAACTCATGCAGGCCTGTGCTGTGTTTTTGTTCTGTTTTTTAATTCTGTGTCTTCAGTCTGAACAGTTGTTATCAGACATAGTGTGACGCAGTGAAACTTTGCTCACAGGAACAAGGTTTTTCCTCAGGGGAGCTGTGCTTGTGCCAAGTTTAGCTCAACAGCTCTCTGTGTTCTGCCCTCGTTCTCTCTCTGGGCTTGTAAATCTTGATCAATACAGGTTTTGGCTTCATCTATCTCTCAGTCTGCTTTTCCAGATCCTATTTTTATGTCCATATTGATTAATTATTTATCTTGAAAATGTGTTTGACATCTTCAGTGGTCATCACGCTGCTGGATTCTCAAACCGAGTCTCATGCTGGCCAGCTCAGTGAAATGTGTCTCTGTTTAGGCCACAAAACCATTTCATCTCCTCTCTGGGGGCATCTTTGCTCTGCTGACTGTGCATGTCGCTGTCCTCGTGGCTCTGACAAGGGTGTGACAAATCCGATCAGTTATATCGTCATGGACTCAGTGTGAATAGTTCAGCTAAGGGTCACTGATCTGCAGGGCTATAATAAGAAATGATGATCCAGTTTCAGTGAAAGCAGCTTGTGTTGGTGTTGGCCGTCTTAAAGGTGAAGTCATCCAGCTGTTAGCCTCCCTTTTCTAAAGTTTCTTCATTCTTTCTTTTACAGCTGAAGCTTGAAGATCGATCTATTGTCATCAGAGACATTGTACGACGGAACAATTCCAATGTAAGTGAAGTCCTCTCAGTCTGCATCTGTTCTTTGTCTCTAACTCTTTTTCACTTCACCTTTTCTGTTTTTGTGTTTTTACCTTGTTCGCTCTTTTTCATTCAACTCTCTCCCATTGTCAGTCATATCACTGTTCACCGCTCCGTTCCATTTGCTGCATCAGACATGACTGGAATACAACTGCGGGTTGAGGCTCAAAAAGGACTAAACCGAGGCTTTGTGTTAACACAGTGCAACAACTCAATCTGAATAACAAACACATGAAACTTTCATGTGATTTTTCTTATGGTTCAAAGTGTTGTTTACAAGAGATGCTACTGGACACCAACACAAACATTTACAAGCTTACATGCAACACCTTAAAGCGTCTGTTGCTGGACAGGATGATATAACGTGCATAATGATGACATGCTGCTGAGCCTGTGTTTGTTGCATTACAGGACAACCAGTGTGGTATTGTGACCAACATTGACATCGAGTGTGCAGTGAAACTAGTGGGAACAAATTGTGTTCTGTATCCAGTTAACAGCAAAGACCTGCAACACATCTGGGTAAGACACAAGCATTATATTCTTCAAACCAATGAGTGACAAGTGTGGCAGGTAGCAGTTAATAGGTCTGTGTGTTTATATAT